ACCAAAGGGGGAGGAATGAAAGAAAAAAGAAATAACTTCACATAGTACATCATATTCCCCAAAACAACAACAAAAATAAAAAACGTCTTGTTTCCATATGTTTGAGTTCATTTTGACAAAGTATTCTTAAAAAGTTTATCAGACACCTTGTAAATTTTGTCATGTGTAGAAATGACCAGCAGGTGGTACTATGGCTCTATGAATAAAAACATTTCTTTACCAAATGTACATAACCCCATTTAAGTGCTTGTTTTTCTCAAGTACATGTATTGTGACAGTGTATTAAAAATCTACTATAACTTAGCATTTGTCTTTATCTGTAAGTTAACAGTCTATTTATACTTATATTCAAATATATTTGACACTAAGAGTTCAAAACTTATGCATGAGACAAGGTAGTGGAAAACCTAAAATATGTTCAAGTAATTTAACTTTTTTTTATGTTTCATGATGCATGGTTAAATTTCAAGAAAAAAATTTCAACCTTAGTTTTTGTTAACTTTTTTTCTATTATTTTATGGGGAATTTGTAGTTTAGCTACTTTTCTTAAATGTAAACATTTTTGTTAAATTTGGAGTTTTTACTTTCACATTCAGCTTTTGTCACAGAATGTTCTAGTTCTTTCTTCGTAAATATTCAAAACTGTTTTTTATTTTTTTGTACACTTATCTTCAGTTGTACAAAGGAATTATTTCATAACCATGCTCAACAATTACTATTTCTTAATTACATGTTAGTATCTTAAAATTTACGATTTAGAAACCTTTTATATATGAACAATGCTATTATTGTAGTGAATTTCACTTTCAACAATGATTTCTTTATGTTTATTAATACAACTAGTACAGGCATTACTCAAATGTAAAATATATAAATGAGTTTTTGTAACATTTGTATATGACAAAGTATTAGACTATGGCTTCACACCTTGTTGATTTTCCTGCAAGGTCAGCATAGGGCAGAATATTTGGGCCCTAAGTATGGAGGAAGTATTGTTAGTCCCATGGAGTTCTAGTGAAGTTCCATTGAATCCTAGGGCTAACTCGAAGAAACACGGGCTCTGGGAATCACTGTCAAGCCCTATTAGGGTCAGCCCAGGAGTTTCTTTTTTCAGCATCACCCAATGTGACATAAGTGTTTTGTCTTCACAATCTGTTAATTAATAAAGTATTGAGAGATGAATTGTAATATATTCAAACATAGCAGATTCTACCACATAAGTATTAAGAATAACTTCGCAATTTAATTCTAAGAAACAAAATGAGGAAAAGTAGCACAGAATACCAGATCCTAAGTAATAAATCAGTTTTCTTGTCAAATAATGTATGTACTATAGTTAGATTTTATTTAAAAAAAAAGACTTTTGAAGAGAATAGATGAATTGTGTAAGGTTGACACTAAAACTCAGTGCTCTCTTTAAACTGTTAGCAGTTCTGTTAAGCAGTAATACATATTTAGCTAATAAGTAATCTTTCATACCTTTCAATCATCCCATGATGCCAAAAGTTTGCTTTGGTTTGCTGTATCTATATACAGATTGTCTGTGCTTCACTGTCTTTGAAATTTTTATTGAATTATTGCATTCAAGTTTAAATAGTTAGATCATACTATCTAAATTTACCAAGGAAGGAATTCACTAAAACAATAGTGAAAAGAAAGCTGCATGAAGACTTTAGTCCTTTATAAGGACTAAAATTGAAAAGAGGATATTATAAAAGATAGGCTGATGGATTGATTGGCCTGTTTGTTATCCAGTGTTTTCCCATGTTTCTATATTAGCGGTAATTTAGATTCGAACACAAGTAAATAGTTTATATGTAGGAAAATGGATGGGTATTTAAGAGCAATGAGCAGGCAGTACCAACAGTAAACTTCAGTTTTAAGAGAAAGAAAGAGAATAGGTGGAGTTTGGAGAGATGGAGGACGATGCTGAAGGGATGTCATTGATCAAAATGCATTGGACTCACAAACTGACATATTGAATTGAAACTTGTTGTGCAACAATTACGGAAAATACAAAAAGGAGTTATAAACAAAGTTGGTGAGGATAGAAAATGTTCAAAATATAAATTGGATAAATATAACCTTAGGCACAAGAGTTTTGTGGCATATATTCAGCAACCAAGTTCAATAACCAGTGTAAACTGTGAAATTCATGTAATCACAACTGAGTATTTTACTTTTTAGGTACAAAATGTGCAGCATGCAGAACAAAAGTGTAGTGGAGTTCTTAGGATTAGTTACTACAAACCATTTCATGATTAAAGTGCATTAACTTCTCTAGGACATTTTTTTTTTCTTAACTTTGAAATGGCAGACTGGACTGAGCAATCTCTGAAGCATCTGAGTAGTTATTTTGTCTTGGTGGGTAGCAGAAAGGATTCAAGGACTTTTCTTCAGGTGTTCTGTGCTTTCTGTTATTCTCATTCTCCTCTTTTCTCCATCTTGTCTTTCTTTTCTTACTTTCTTCTTAACTCCTTCTGTGTGTGTGTGTGTCTGTCTGTCTGTCTGTCTTTTGTCTGCCTGTATCTGTGTCTGTGTCTGTGTCTCTGTGTCTGTTTCTAACATTATTGCTCATTATGTCCTTGCTTCATTTTTCCTTCTCAAAAGGATAACACTACTGTAACTGGTTGTGTTGAGTGGGGGCCGGGGAGGTACGGGGTGAGACTTTTGATAGGAGATTCAGAGGAATGGTTGCTTATGTTCAGATGTCGAGGCCTTAGAAATCACTGAATGTTCTTGTGTCTATGTGAAAAGGAAGTGCCAAGGAAACAGGATTAGGCTGGTTCTGCAGCTACTCAATATCATGGGATTTGATTTGCTCCACATAGGTGCAGAGCCACTGACTAACTTTCTAGACCTTTCAAGGTGAAAGCCTCTAAATTATTTAATTTTGCTAATTCAAGAAAGATGTTAAGGAGGGAAGAAGTCAATACACATTCTTTGAGAGATGGCCGGAATAATCTGTGGCTTTCCTGAAAGCAAAACATGTTTCTTGCAGTAAGAGACAAGAAAGGAAATACCTGGCACACGTTGGTTGAATTATGTGCAAAGTATATGACTGCAGGAGACAAAAGAAGGGGGAAAAAAAGCTGTACACTCATGAAGTATGAAAGACAGCAAGCTGAAAAGCTACACGACTTGAAATAGAATAAAACAAATGGCACCCCCAGGGAAATGAAAGCAGACAGCTCAAGGCATTCATGTGTACATTAATTATGTTACTTTCCATGGCAATGCAAAGCCATGAAAAGAGCAAAGGCCTTTAACCACTCCAGGACTGAGCTACACCATGTGTCTTCACATCTGCCCTCTATTAGAGCAGGATGCACAATGCAAATAAATATAACACACAAGAGGACTGAAGCCCCGCCTCGGCTTACATCTGAGCTATTTTGAGTCAAGTTAAGATGATTTTCCATATGCTGAAAAATTTATTGAAGCTTTAGAAAAGAGATGAGAAATTCTACTAAAAAAAGAATACTTTTTGTCCTTTATTCTTAAAAAAGAAAGTGTGGAAGGGAGGTGAACAGAAAAGTAGGGAGATATTGGAGTATCCAGATAAAATTAGCACACACAGTAGACTTAAAATTTTAGGTAAGTAATGCCTAACTCTTTCCTCATTTTTTTTTATTTTTATCAGTTAGCATCAGAATCAAGGGAGTTCCATTTTGACATGTCCATAAGAGCATAGATTATACCTGGATCAGACTTTCCTCTTCTGTCATTTTAATGAGTAACTTTTTAAAAACAAAAGCAAATCCCAAGCATTGCTTTGGACATATTTACACATAGGACATATGTGTTATGTTTCTGTGCTTATGTGTTTGTGTATTTTTGTTCTAAAAAGCTTAAAATATATTTATTGTTTAATATTCAAATTTAACTGAGATTCTATACATTTCCTTTCCTTTCTAAATTTTAGTTGTACTTGGGTTTGAGCCAATGCTCAGCTGGTGCTCTATCATTTGAGCCACATCTCCAGTTCTGTTTATTTTTCTAAAAATTATCTTGAAAGAATATCATTAACTTTTCTGCTTTGGCTTTGACTCTAGTTTCTCTGTATCTCAGTTTCCTGAGTGGCTAGGAGTACAGAGATGGGTCAGTGGCTGATATTTCTACCATAAAATTTAGCATAACTGGGAGAGAAGCAGAAAGTTCATCTACTAAGTACCTGAACACTTTTTTTTTTTTTCTTTTTTTCTTTTGTCGGTCGTGGACTTGAACTCTAGGCCTGGGCACTGTCCCTGCGCTCTTCAGCTCAAGCGAGCACTCTACTGCTTGAGCCACAGCGCCACTTCCATACTTGAACACTCTTGTGTTTCCTTTCTTATTTTCTCAGAGAACCTAACAGACATTTAGCACACTGTAAGCCAAATATAAAGCTACATCTAATACTACTCTGAAAGTACTGAAAGTTGTTTATGATCTCATGATGTCATATTTGTAATTCTACATTGTCTCTGGATCTACACTGAAGAGTTTTAGTTAGTATAATTATTTCAATTGATAGCTTTGGTTTCAATCAGGTAGCCTTTTTTCAAAATTATTTCAATGGGCAAGACAGTGGATTAAAATAGGAAAATACCTCTGGATGTACAAAGATGGCACATCCAGAAGCTGGTATATGGTAAGTTCTCTATATTAAAAACAAAATTCCACAGGAAAAAAATTGATGCACTTCTAAAAGTATGCATTTTGTGAAACTTGCAGGCTTTTTGGGAAATTTGAAAATGGATTCACTTTTTCAAATATTATGAAAAAGTTCACTAAAGATCATGTTTTATAAATGTTATTGAAAATAAATCTGAATAATATTGGTAAATTGATATGATCTGTAACTATTTTGAGAACATTTTTCCAAAACTTTACAAGGAGCAATATTTCCTTTAGCACTCACATTGAATAGAAACATAAAATATGTACATGTATTTATTAACCACGAGAACAGAATGCTAGTTTTGTTAATAATTTTTCATTTGTAGTTTGCAAGACACATCAAGAAATCTGAAGGCCAGAAAATCCCCAAGGTTGAACTGCAAATATCAATTTATGGAGTAAAGATTCTAGAACCTAAAACAAAGGTAAGACTGATTTTTGCATGTCAGAGCACTTTAAGCTTAAATTAACTGTTTGCATACCATTTCCAACAACACCAGCATCATTTGAAATAGCAAGCTCCAGTCTAGACCTACTGAATGTCAAATCTACAACTTACAAAGAAAGAAACCTGATGACTTCCGTATGGCTTAACATTTGCATACATCTGGTATAGTGTACTGTGACAGTTGTACACAGCAGGCTTCATTTTCAAGTTGTAGTCCATGGGAAAGCTGCATTAAAAATGTCTTGAGGCTATTGGAAAAATGAGTTTGAAAGGCTCGGTATGTCTACAGAATCATAATTTGGGAACTTTTGCATTTACAGTTAGGGTAAGGACAGTGGAGTATGGCATGGGTACAGCCATGGTTTCTGTTCTCCAATTCTGTATTAAACAACAATGGCGTTCCTTCTGAGTTGTAAGACCTCTCACAATTAGACTATCTAGTACCCTCCCTTTCATTTATCAGCCTTTGTTATTAAATAACAAAGATACAGAGACTTGAGTAATGGTTATCTCAAAATAATGCTATGAGGTGGTGAAAGAGGTAGTGAAAGGCTTGAGGAAGGATGATGTATGTATAATGAAATCATGCAGTTTGATCGAAACAAGACAGTTGAGAATAAGGAATGACCTTCTGAATGCTGGCAGAGAAAAATTCATTATGTGAAGGGTGGCTACAGAAAAGAAAATATGCTAACAAATAAGTTACAGAGGGACAGTACAACCAAAAATTAATGGCAACCTACGTGTTAGTATTACATACAATCACAAAGTAAAGGAATCTTATTCTGGCATTTCCTCTTAAAATTAAATGAGTATAGAGTGGCAAACGTCCAGCCCAAATGGGTCATTTATAGGCCGTGTTTATACTGAAAAATTTCTCCTAAAGCATACAAATTCTTTATTGGGTTTGGAGTATGTTTGAATAGTGAGTTAAATATTTAGAAATTTTGGATATTATTATATACAATAAACACATTTGAATCCTATTTATACTAAGTCATATAAGCATGTTGTTATATATCCTGTCATATATATGGAATTATATACCTATGATTCAAACATAAATATGGAGAAATTTTATTTAGTATTTGATTGTGTAATAATAGCATATCTTTCAAAAAGTACAAAACATAAAAACTTTACACACTACAAAAGGACTACCCCTAATGTTGCATGTGTAGGATGTCTATGTTTGTGAAAGGAGCCATAAACAGATTCATAGAGTTGGGCTTGTGGACAGGACTTGTAGGACTATATATTACAGCCTTATCTTTCATCTAAATCTGTTATTTATCACATAGTTTCATTTAACCTTTAAAATGATAATACTTCCTCAAATGAAAGAATCATTTCCCATGACTTTTTCTTTCCTGGCTTCCTGCTTACCTGGGGAAAGCTACACATTGAAGCGCATTTGACCAGTGACTTATCGTTTGTCAGGTTTGTTCTCCCAGGTCTCCTGAGCTATTGGATTTTACTTGAAATGCAAATAAATAAAAATTTATCTTGTAAACCTAAAAGTAGAAATACAAGGGAAAATTAAAAAGGACAGTAGGTGATATTGTGAAAAAAATAATGTGAATAGATTCAAACACTGAGGGGAGAAAAAAACTGTGACTGGTGATAGGAGAAAAAGACAAAAAGTGACATGAAAAAGTGGACACTGATGGCTGATGCCTGTAATCCTAGCCACTCAGGAGGCTGAGATCTGAGGGGTAGAGTTTGAAGCCAGGCCAGGCAGGAAAGTCTGTGAGACTCATCTCCAATGAACTACCCTAAAAAGCCAGAAATGGAGCTGTGTCTCAAGTGGTTGAGTGCTAGCCTTGAGCAAACAAATCAGAAACAGTACCCAGGCCCTGAATTCCAGCCCCAGGATGCCCCCCCACCAAGAGAGGATTGTTGTGTTCTATTTTTGTTTCTGGGAACTTATGCCAATAATTTACCATTGACATCCTGTCAAGTATCATTCTGTTCCATAAGTTATTAGTATCAAATTGCAGCCCTTCCACAGTCTATAGTCCATTAATAAAATATCAGTGAATTGCCCAATTGATTTTGCATCATTCCATATGGCTCCCCTCAAATCAACAATGTAATTTTCTTCTTCCTTATCCCAACTTTCATTCCCCTATATTTAACAGTTTTTAGTAAGAGGTCCCTAAAGTCAGTTTTCTTAGCTTTTAATGTGAAAAGAAACATCTGAATTTTTAGCTTTTAAAGTCTGAAAAGCAGTCCTGGAGTTTTAGAATCTTTAAGCTGTTTTGAAACTTCAGTTACATGTTAATATATTACAAATTCTCATATGTATGACTCTACTTATCTAAAGATGTGTTTTACATAAGTAGATGCTCTTCTGAGCATCAGTCAACAAGATACTGTTCAGGATGCTGTTTTCTGGACTCTATTTTAAGTATTTCAAAGTTAGAATCAGCAGGCCTAGTGTGAGGAGAGAGAGAGAGAGAGAACTTATATACACAGAGTTTTTACATACATGCATTAGAAACTTGAGTGAATCAGATAGAAAATGTTACTCATTTTATTTTAGATAAAACATGTAGCTTAGAAAAAAAAATGAGGGGCTGGGAAGGTGGCTCAGTGGTAGAGCGCTTGCCTTACATGCATGAGGCCCTGGGTTTGATTCCCCAGCATCACATAAGCAAAAAAAAAAAAAAAAAAAAATGAGTGCTTGCCTAGCATGCATGAAGGTTTGATTCCTCTGTACCACATAAATAAAAAAGGCAAAAGTAGCTCAAGTGGTAGGGCACTAGCTTTGAGCCAAAGGAGCTCAAAGACAGTACCAGTCCCTGAGTTCAAGCCACATGACAGGCAAGCAAAAAAAAAAAAACAAAAACAAAAAACCCAAAACAATGAAATATGAGGCTCCTAAAATAATTTATTTTAGTTAAATTGCACAGTTAAGTTGCATGTATGGCAGTATTTTAAATATATTATTTATACAACAAAGTTGTTCTTGACAGAAAATAGGAAATTTTTCTTTCCCACTGGGAGGGATGGGTACTAGAGTAAAGCCTTCTTTCTCTTTAACAATTAGTTATAGTATATTTCTTTCTTATCTTTCATTTCTTCAGCTTTCTACTTGGTAGCTGAAGTATGACATAAGTCATACGGATTAATTGGGGATAAACACATATACTAGTTTTCTATTTCAATTCCAATAAAATACTTTTAAATATCTTTGTTATCTTTAAATGGTTTTACAAAGGAGTTGGCATTCAACAAAGCAGTTTGGAAATACAATTTATATTGATCAATTTTGGACAACCTTTTTTTTTATGTCGGTCGTGGGGCTTGAACTCTGGGCCTGGGCGCTGTCCCTCAGCTCTTCAGCTCAAGGCGAGCGCTCTACCACTTGAGCTACAGCGCCACTTCCGGTTTTCTGGTGGTTTATTGGAGATAGGAGTCTCACGGTCTTTCCTGCCCGGGCTGGCTTTGAACCGCGATCCTCAGTAGCTAGGATTACAGGCGTGAGCCACCAGCGCCCGCTGGACTAGCTTTTCAACATTCTCACCTATCCCTCCCTACCCACCCTGACCCTCACGTTTCTTGGTTTTATGGGATATTCATTGAACTTTGTTTGACCGCATTCGCCCCACTTCACTTTATCCTTCTACCTCAGGAAATGGGTACTTGACACTTGACTCCAACCCACCTCTTGCAAAGACCCATTTCTTGACGTCTGTGGAACTTTGATTTAGCCTTTCTAAGGAAGGATGCAGTTCGTATTCTACCATGAATGACTGTTTTTTCAATTAATAAATTTGTGTACGCTAGTGTATCACCCAAAGCGTTTACTTACATCTTTATAAACTAATTATAACTTTCACAATGAGAGAAAACATGTAACTTTGTCTCTCTGAAACTGATTTATTTCACTTCACATGACTTTTTTTCTAGAAAGGTCCTTCCAGTTCTTTGCAAATACATGAGCATTCTTTCTGATGGATGAGCACAATTCCACTTTCTTGCTCTATTCCTCAATCTCCTTATTCCATCTTACTAGTTATAAACACTATACTTAACCTCCATAAAAATCTGACAAAACAGCATACACATTCACAAAATAATTACATTATTTTTCAGCTTCATAATCTTCTTTTTATTTTATTGTTAGTACTTAAACTTTACTTTTGGGCCTTGAACTCAGGGCCTGAGCACTGTCTTTGAGTCTTTTGCTCAAGGCTAGTGCTCTACCACTCAAGCCACAGCTGCACTTCTGGCTTTTTGGTATCTAATTGAGGCTAAGAATCTCATTGGCCTTTCCTGCCTGGACTGGCTTTAAACTGCAATCTCGGATCTCAGCCTTTGAGTAGCAAGGATTACTGGTGTGAACCAACAGTGCCTGAAACTTTGCAATCTTATTTTGTAGAAAGATACCTTTTAATATCAACATATATTAACATGATTCCCACCTGTTTAAAACCCACACCTTTCTGTGACTGTGCCAGAGGTTGAGTGAGTGATGGACTTTCAGGACTTCACCATCAGCTCTGTGTGCCTGGCATGTTATTTTTACTTCCCTGTAGATACAAAAATAAATTCATCGCCTATCTTATCTCATTTCTGTCACGAGTATAGATTTATAACTGATTCAGACCTGTCAGTATTTGAGAGCTATGGTATTGCAGAGGCTATCATTTAATCATCATATAGATACTAATGAAAGTAAATGTCAATCTGAAAGGAGTCTGGACAATAAGGCAAAATAATAGCAAGAGTCATAGACCAATATGGTTGTCTTGTCTCTCTAGTTACTAATTGCAAAAAACAGAAGATACCCTATCAAAGGCCTAAGTTAAAAACAAAAAAGGAAATTAGAAAAGAGAATCTTAGGGAAGAGTAAGGGGATTAAGGAGAAGGGATGAAAGGAGAAAATGGTCAGAGAGGGAAATATGGAGGGGGTATGGTTAAAATATGTTCTGTGCATGTATAAAAATGTCACAATGAAACCCATTACTCACTGTAATTAATATCCATGAAGAAACAGGCCTATGTAAGTTGAGCTCTCTTTTTAAACATTGTTCTTTTTATTTTTTTACTATTGAACTTAATGCTTCTGAGTAGTGTGATTAACTATAGTGCAAATAAAAGTGATATAAACCAACAAACCAATGTTAAGCTTATAGAGAGAAGAGTCTTGGTTCATCATTGTTTTTTTGTTGATCAAAATCTGCAAGATTCTGAGTCCAGGAAGCGGGCACCCTAGGTAATTGTGTTAGCGGTTGTCTGAAACTACCTTTACAGAAATACTGAAATCTGACCTAAATAAAGCTTTCTTGAGGAAGAATTCATTAAATCCTCTTTGGTGAATCTACTCTTACTTCCATAGTTAGTGTTTTAAAACTAAATAATATGAGTGACCTAAGATTCTGATTAAAATTCCTGGTGTTAAAATGCAATTAAAAAATACTTATAACCATAAGAGTAAAAGGAATGATTTTATTTTTTATATCAGTCATAGTTAAATAAGATTTATTTTCTACATACAACATGTTTTAAAAAACTGTAAGGGACTGGGAAGGTGGCTCAGTGATAGAGCGCTTGCCTTGCATGCCAGAGGCCCTGGGTTCGATTCCTTAGCACCACATAAGAAAAAAGCCGGAGGTGGCGCTGTGGCTCAAGTGGTAGAACGCTAGTCTTGAGCTGAATAGCTGAGGACAGCGCCCAGGCCCAGAGTTCAGGCCCCACGACCGGACCCCCCCACCCAAAAAAAAAAACAAACTGTAAGGATAAATAATATTAATGATGACACATATGAATCTAAATACTATCTGAAGTTCAAGTCCTTTGCTTAAATAGTAAGTTATGGATTCATAGGAACATTTTTTAATTAAGTTCCTATCAGATATTTTTATTGTTTTATAGTTTGATATGTGCATGTATATGTATATGTGTGTATGCTGCGAGTATTTCTACCTGCTTATGTGTTTGTCTTTCTACTGAATAGCCACAGTCATTTGGGGGCTTTTCCATCATGAACAAGTTTAACCATGCCATATATAAAAGTTTCATGAATGTTGGAGAAATCATGAGATATGTATAAGAAGGAAGAAATAATTATATATTTCATGTGAAATTTTGTGCAGACAAGCCTATGTTCTAAGTTATAATACTCATTATTTATCAGTGATGTAAATGAAGGGAATTTCAGGTTAAAAGGGTCCTCATGATATAACCTTTTGGAGATATTTTAATATTTTAATCTCTGAACTTCAATTCTCTCCTTCATAAACTTGCAGGCTGCAAATCAAACACTCTCTTTACATTCTTTGCAGCTCAGATTCTTTGCCATTTGTAACCTACTGATCCTTTTGTATTATGCTTGCATTTTTCTGAGTACTATTGGAATGATTATCATTTTAGTCTTCAGGCCAGAATATCGTCCTCGTGGTTTATTTGTTTAAGTTTGGGGTCTATATAATTATAAAAAGAAAGTGACAGATAATGGTTACACATTTCAAGTTGTTAGTTCTATGTTATTAACACAAGCTGGCATTTCAGAAAGTGGATGAAATGCTATCAACTATATTCATTTCCATCTGTGTTCACAGGAAGTCCAGCACAATTGCCAGCTTCATAGAATATCATTCTGTGCAGATGATAAAACTGACAAGAGGATATTCACTTTCATATGCAAAGATTCAGAATCAAATAAACATTTGTGCTATGTATTTGACAGCGAAAAGTGTGTAAGTATGCCAGATGTTTTAGGGTGGTTTGTTCTCTTTTACAAGCCAGGAATTGTCTTGTTTCCGGCATTAGTAAAGCATTTGGAAAAGAATGAGGTCTGGAAATACTTAAGTGCACTAATAGATTCATCCTGTCATGAGAGTAGACTTCAGGATTTCACCCTTAACTAAATTCTTATGTTCACAAGCAAATGCCTGCATGCAAATTTCTTTCATTAGAACACCATGCCTACTCATTCTATGTATTTGTGTCTCTTTTAATCATTTAATTTGTTTGTAATTTTATTTCCACCCAATTTTTTAGTACAATGCACATAATGCAGAGTAATGTTGAAGAAAAGTGTGTTTTAGGTTTATATTTTTTCTTGAAAGGGATAAGCTTAATGGAAATCAGTATTGTAAGCCCTTGGAAATAAAAGCTGCATGGCTTCTTAAATGAGTCTCCAATTACATTGAAAATTATTTCATATAATGAAAGGTAATTAAATCATGTGTATGTGCATGCATTCGTTTGTGTGTGTATGTGTGTGTGTGAGAGAGAGAGAGAATGAGAGAGAGAGAGACAGACAGAAAGAGAGACAGACAGAGTATGAGTGAAAGTAATGTAACAGAACATTTAGGGAATTCCAGAAATAAGCCATGCAATAGCTTTTTAATCATCTGGATTTATAAAGAAAACCCATATCACTATACTGTGCTTACAAGCACAAGCTAATTTTATACATAACCTTTTCTGAGTTCTTAGTATAAAACAGAAAATGTGCATTCCATTCACATTGCAGCCATTGATGACTTCAGTAGAGAAAGAACATCTAAATTCAACAGCATTATTTGTTTAAAAAAGAAAGAGAACATTACTTACTCATTTATATACTATTTTTCTTGTTCTCAATACATAGCAGACTACTTACTATCATGATGACCATAATGGAATTTAAACCTCTGGTTTCAGTATGTGAGCTCTTTGAAAAGAAATGCCTTTTTATTTTATATATAATTTCTGTATCTGGTGGATAACAGATGCTAGTAATTTTTCCATAAGGAAAATTCTATGTTAAAAATGTACCAAAAATAATGGGCTGGGAAGGTGGCTCAGTGGTAGAGCGCTTGCCTTGCATGCCTGAGGCCCTGGGTTCGATTCCTCAGCACCACATAAGCAAAAAGAAAAAAGCCGAAAGTGGCGCTGTGGCTCAAGTAGTAAGAGCACTAGCCTTGAGCTCCAGAGCTGAGGGACAGTGCTCAGGCCCAGAGTTCAGGCCCCACAACTGGACCCCGCCTCCCCCCAAAAAAAGAAAATGTACCCAAAATAATGCAGGCTATTTCCTGTATAGTTTAAACTTAAGTCCTTTAAAGAAGGTAAGCAAATATGCTAAGCTACTTTGGCATCATATCCTCTTGGAATTAGTGAACATTATGGACAACTTCTCTGAAAAATGTGCTTATTATTTAAGACAGTGTTGTAGACCCACAGAAAAAGACATTTTTATGGAGTTCAAAATGTTTTTGAAATTTATTGAATGAAAGCATTAATTTTGAATATTTAATGTGTTTCTTAACTGTGGTAATTTGCAGATGTTTTTATGGTGTGATTGAGAGGTTATATTTGTTGAATATCTTCTATGTGTAAGACATAATAACCTTTCACCATTTGCACTGAAGAGATTTGGCTTACCCATAGAAATAAAATTCCTTATGGCTCTCTATAAAGTGGTTCATAATCAGAACTGTTGATATATATCAACCTTTTATAGATTTGTACCCCTGATTTTCTTTCTTTGATATCCACAAACTTGTTTCTTGATCATAATGGAACTCTTGTAAAATTCCATTAAATTTTAAAGTATAAATCCTATTTATTCCAAATCTTATTTTCTATAATTAATTCCTAGTCCTTTTATTTATTTATTTTTGTTGGATATAGTCTATCAAAGTTCTCTTTCCTTGAAAGTTGAAAATGATTTATTTAAGCCTAAACTAGTGATTCACAATTACTTCAGAACTTTTACAAACACAGTTCTTTCATCTTATATTAAATATTAATTGCTACTGAGCCTGAAGAACTCAGCATTTACTAAATTCATCAAATAATTTACATTATCGGAGTCTTGAAAGGAAAGAAGAAATAAAGCTGCTTAACTTAAAAAAAAATACCCGAAGAAATTGTAGTTGAAAATGTCCCAGACTTGGCAAATAACATAAATCTATAGATTGAAAATATTAAATGAGTTCCACACATCACTGTTCCAGATACCTACATACTAACACATTATAGTCAATTTTCTGGAAACTAATGACAGAAAATCTGACACCAATAAAAACTGTTCCTTATCTATAGAATTAGGTCAAGTTCCATGATAGTGTGATTATCTTAACAAACCATCAAGGTAAGAAGGAAGAAACACAATGTTTTGAATACTGTGGTTGGATCACTGTCAAATCAGAATCAAATTTCCAGACCAATATATATTTCAGGAGTTAAAGAAATCAAAGAATTATCATATGAATGACAAACTTTTCCCTACTAAACCTTCCCTAAGTAGTGTGTGCTGGGGTGGGGCATGGCTCTAAACAGAATAATAGAAGACAATGCCTTGAGAAAAGATGAAGGTAGAATAAAAAGGATTAGGAAGCATGTTAGTAAATATAGTTTTCTGATTTATGTATTATGGTAGAAGTCTATATTCTGATTTGATTCTAAGTGTATATACGTACACATCAGAGAAATATGTGAACAACTATAATATCAATAGAAAATTGAAAGGTTGTGATGAAAGGCAGTTTTTTATACTTGCACCAGAAAACTTCCACCACTAGGCAGCTATGATAAATAATATAAATAAAACAAACACAGTGAGAATCCCAGAGCAATCACTAAAAAGCTGTATGAGATGCATTTTAAAGCAGTTATTTTTTTAATTACATACATTTTTTAATAAATACCTTAAAACCTACAGAGATTGAGTGAAAACAAAACAGAACATGAAGAGAGATTGGAAAATTGTTAACTACAAACTTAAGTCCTAACATATAAAATCACATTAAATATAAATCCCATATAAGCTAATTAAATACATATTAAATTTGTATTAAGCATAACTCAAATCCATATTGTCTATACCAAATTGTAAATGGGAAGGTTTAGGTGGTATAAGCAGTTTGAAAATAGAAGGGGAAGGAATGTAACATGCAAGCATTATTCAAATATAGCAGAAGTTAGCTTTCAGAGTAGCCTTTGATGCAAAGAAAGCTACTAGAAATGGAGAAAAAGATTGTATAACAATAGAAAGGACAAGAAGACCTAATGATCTTCAATATACATGACCAACCAACAGGACTGCAAAATAAGAAATGAAAAAGGGTAGAACAGAAATGATTACACAAATAGTTATTTTTGGAAACTTCACTATGACTCATCCCAATATTTATAGAACAACCAGAAGAAAATCATCAAGGATATAACAGCTCAACAATCATCAACCAATTGGACCTAATAAAAGTTACCACTCCACCCAACAACCACACATTTTCAAGCATTCAAGGATCATCTGCCAAAATACACTCTCTTCTCAGCTAAAAGATAGACCTCAATTTAAAATAAAAATCTTGTAGTAATCATATAGAATATATTCTTTGAGCCAAGGAGAAATTAATCTAAAATTCAGACTAGAAGAATAGTAAAATTTTTAAGAATAATCATAACAATTGTATAGTTTATATATCAAAAATATGTTAATAGAGAATATTTTTTGATCAGTGGTGAGACTTGAACTCAGGGCCAAGGTGCTTTCCCTGAGCCTGTTTGAGCTCAAAGCTAGCAATCTACCACTTGATCCACAGCACCACTTCCATTTTTTGAGTGGTTAATTGGAGATAAGAATCTCATGGGGACTTTTCTGCCTGGGCTGGCTTTGAACTGTGATCCTCAGGTCTCAGCCTCCTGAGTAGCTAGGATTAGAAGCATGAGCCACTGGCATCTGGCTACAAAGAGATTTTTTTTTTTTAAATCAATGAACCAACCAGATATAAAATAAATCTTAACAAGATTTGTGTGATATAAAGTCATTCTGAGAGTAAGAAATAATAACTAAGTACATATATTACAAAAGAGCAATGTTTCAAATCATGACATGTCTTTTACCATATAATCATAATAGTCTATGGTTTAAAGTATTAGTAAAAATCAACACTCTTTGTTAAAACCAACAAAACCTTAATTTGATTATAGGCATCGTAATAACTACAGATTCCTTATATGGGGTTAAAAATGAATACTTTAAAAATAATATAGAAAAGGACAGTTTTTGTTTGTTTATTTTTTACTCTTGGTACTATAAAATGCATGCCTTAAGTTTGTAGCCCTTACAATAAGACTAGAAATAACATGTGGACTCTAAAGAATGAAATGAATCTTTGTTCCTACGTGATGCCGTCTGTTCAATAACACACACACAAGAGCTGGTTAACAAAAAAAATTTTTTTTGAAAAATCTGGAAAGAACTTTAATTGAAGAGAGCAAAGATAAAACAATGCTCAATTAAGACATCTAATTGAAAGACTTAGCTATAACTGCACAACTGTCAGAAAGCCTAGTTGAGTCAAATAAAGCTGCTGGGGATATAAAATGCCACAGTACTCTAGAAAGACAATTTGTCAGTTAACATGCGACTATCATATGAAATATTTAGACAGTCATCTCAGAAAAATCAAAGCTTAAAGTGTTCACACAAAAACCTATACACATATGTATTAGTTAGGATGATTATAATGGCACAAAATACAAACAAAATACAACGATTAAGCACAGTTGGTTACATCCCAACCATAGAACACTACTTATTGATAAAATGGAATGAGATACTAATATGCACAATGATCTGGTTGACTGTAGAGAGTGGAAAGGTTCCAGAACATTATGTGTTTTCCTTCTATTCCTCTATCACTTATAAATGACAGAATTATAGAAATGAAGAATAGATTACTAAAGTTCGCCAATGGCCTAAGGAAAGGCCTAGAATAGAGTTTTGCCTATCTAACAGCTAGATCAGAGATTCCTGTGGCAAACGAATTATTCTGCATTGTTACAATGATCAATATCCTGGTTGTGATTTGCACTGTAATTTTGTAATATGTCTCCCCTGGGAGAAACTGGAAAAGTATATACAAGACCTTCCTGTACTATTTCTTACAATTGGATGTAAATCTGAAATGATTACATAATAAACACTTAAAAAGTATATTCCGCCCTATTTGGACTGAACTATTGATCTTATTTTAAGTAAACACAGGCCAGACAGTTATACTGCAATTCCCAGAGTAACAAAAGATAAATAATTATAGAAGCCCAACTATATAGTTTAACTCTGATTGCATGCCTTCATATACTCCAAGACAGGAATTCAATTCCCTGGTAAAATGATGTTATATTATGAGGGTTTCCTACATATACAACTTCTATAGCCATCTCATTAAATTGAAAAAAAAAGATGAAATATGGAGTTCATTGTGATGGTTGAATTGGCTTCTTGATTTAATAAGTCAAATATAGTCAGTGTCAACCAATTAGCCATTATTTGCTTTTCAGAATTTTTTCAAATGTTTGTAACAACACATTATTCATTACTTTGATTTTGAAGTAACTTAACAGTAGTTCCCAATATGCTTATAAAACTACTACATAACCCTTTGCTGATGTTATGACATCAAATGAACAGCATGGCAAAGATGTAACCTCTCTGTTACTCAATAATTCTCCCTACGAAAATAACTCATTTTCAAAAGAATCATATGTAATTAATAATAGGAGAAATCATTGCATCTAGTCCTTCCTCAATGTCAACTTCTAAGAAGTTATTTGTTCTTTGTAGTTATAGGCTGCCTTTTAAAATATTTAGAAACAATCCTTTTTTAAAGTAATTTTTTCTCTTTGTATTTCATTAAATTACTAGAATGAAAATAGTAAGTTTCTTAGTTTTGTCTTGAGCAAAATGCCCCAAGTTTAAGCCCCAGAACCAGCAAAAATAAATACAGTTTTGTGGGAATATGAAGTATCTTCCAAGCAAGATATTTTTGAATAAATTATTAAAGGTATGTCTTATAAAGCTATTTTGAGATCTGTATTGATACATATTTTTGATTTATAGACTTTTGAAGTTAAATTACAGTTATATTCTTTTTTTTTTTTTTTTTTGTCAGTCATGGGGCTTGAATTCTGGGCTTGGGTGCTGTCCCTGCGCTCTTTAGCTCAAGGCGAGTGCTCTACCACTTGAGCCACAGCGCCACTTCCAGTTTTCAAGTCGTTTATTGGAGATAAGGGTCTCAGGGATTTTTCTGCTCTGGCTGCTTTGAACCGTGATCCTCAGATCTCAGCCTCCTCAGTAGCTAGGATTACAGGCATGAGCCACCAGCACCTGGCTAAATTGTATATTTTTTAAAACAATCATTTTCTGCTGCCTGAAAAAAATCCCCAAATGGAATTAAATATATCAATTATAATTTTGAGAAGTCAAACTTCAGAATATCTATATTTATCTATCTTATTTATCATCTGTATACTTTTAGTTATATCATAGATTACATATGAAAGAGGAAATTAATAAGTCTTAAAAATAGGGAATTAAAAGACACATGATACTACATGTAAACAAAAAGTACTCACCAATACAGTGGAGATCAGAAGATACTAAAAAAGACTTCAAAGGACATCTGTAGTTTTTTTGTTTATAACTGAAAAAGCCTTGAATGTCCATCAGCAGAAAGTAGGACAAATTGATGGCAGTAAATGTATAGCATTGAAAACTAATAAAACAAATAAAGCAAATGGAATATTGTGACATATGTAAAACTCAAAAAACATTATGTTAGCAAATGCATGTAGACACCAAAGAGTATATACTAAATGATCTATTTTCATGGATATCAAGGACAAGCAAAATTGATCCATAGTCTTATAAATTAGAGCAATGGTTACTAATGACAAATGTGATCTGACTAGAAATAAATATAGGACGCTTTCTGAGGGGATAAATATATTTCATGTATTAATAATAGGATACTTTGTTAACATGGAAATTTATCTAACCATGTGACTGTACAATTACGGTCTGTGCATTCCATTGTATATAAATCTTAACTTTCCTAGTCTTTTCCTCTCTGAAATGAAAGGACTTGGGAGTCAAAAAAAACAAAATGCTTAAATAGGGATACAGATTTGACCCATTGCAACAATGAGATGTACAAGACTCTATGTTGAAAAACGAACTTTACCCTGGGGCAGGGGCGGGGGAGGGGGGGCCCACAGGGCAGGGCCAGGGAGATGTAGTCTTGCTGGGAGGGCAGGGATATGAGGGAAAAAACAAAGGAGGAGGCTGCAACAATGCTTGATAAGAAATGTACTCATTACCATGTGATTGTAACCCCTCTGTACGATATTTTCACAATAAAAAACTCATTTAAAAAATAAATAAAAAGAGTATTTTTAAGCTTTTATAAATAATATGAATGATCAACAGTTTTATCAGTTAAGCATACTGAGGACTTGAACATAGCATGTCTTATTAGACAGACACATTGGATGGGTAATTTAATAAATAGAAAGGTGAACTACATTTTAAAATATATTTATGTGCCAGGACTGGAGCTTCAACTGAAAGCCTGAGTTCTATCCATTAGCTTTTTCACTCAAAGCTGGTGCTCTGCCACTTTATCCACAGAGTTCCACTTCAAGTTTTGTTCTGGTTATTTGGAGATAAGAGTCTTCCAGACTTCCCTGACTGGTAGACTTTGAACCATGATTCTCAGATCTCAGCCTCTTGAGTAGCTAGGATTAGGATTCATGTGTGAACCACTGAAGCCCAGCTTTTTTCTATAGATGAACTTTGTGCACATATTTTGCATTTTGTTTAATAATGTTAACCTCTGTTTTATAATTCAAATCTTCCTTAAGCAGAAAAATGACATTGTCAATGAGATCATCTAAATTTTAAATTCTGTAACACAACTGTTTGAATTTTAGTAGTAGATTAACAGAAGCATGGTGATGTCAATATGTAATGTTACTACTAGTAACACTAATTGATGTAACCACTAATTTACTGCTAGTTGCCATTAAGACATTATAGAAATTAGTCTTACTAAGTTGTTCACCATTCCTGAAATTGATTAATGCCTTTACCAAACTTCTTTTCAATGATAATAAATAAGCCTTATTTTTAGTTTATACTTAATGCAGGATAACACAAAATCAGTGAAGATATGAATGAACTAGAAGTGGGCTAGTCAACTCTGTATTTATGGGAATCTCTAGTCAGCTGTCCAGAGTGCGAATGTTTCCTAAACCAACTTCAAGATGACAGCTACATTTTGCTCAGTTAGCCTTGTTTTACCAACAACAACAACAACAACAAAAACCCTGCCTACCCTTATTTGTATAAGTTTTCAAACTTCTGATTTCACCTCGCGTATTTAAGATTTATTCTGAATTTGGAATTGCTCAGTTTCACTAGGCAATAATTAGAGGATTTACCTCAAGTTTTCTATAGAAACCACCCTGTTGGCCTCATTCAGATTACCCTCCCAGAATTTAACAAACCCTTCTCCCCAGGAAAAGTAAACAAATAGTACAATAGCAAGAAAAACTGCATTAGACACTGTACCTTCATTTAATAGGTTATAAATATTTGAGAAAATGAAGAAAATATCTAGGAAAAATACCACAAATGCAAGGGATGAAGAGTGGGAAGAACTTTTCCTTCTAACTTCATTAGTGGCCTCCTCTAGTATTTGTTTGCTTGTTCATTTTTGTGCTGGTCATTGAACTTAGGGCCTGGGTGCTGTCCCTGAACTTTTATGCTAAAGGCCAGCACTCCTAGGAGTGCTACAACCCCTTTTGGCACAGCCCCATTTCTGGCTTTTTGGTGGTTAAGTGGAGATAAGAGTTTCATGAACTTTCATGCCTAGGCTGGGTTCAAACAGTAATCCTCAGGTCTCAGCCTCCTGAGTAGCTAGGAGTACAGGTATGAACCACCAGAGCCTAACCGGTTTATTTTTAATACGCCTGGCAAGTTGTAGGTATTTGGCTCATGTGCTATATCCTTTTGAATAACTCCTATGAATGTCTAAACTCGATTCACAGTGAATTTTGTTTTAATTGATTCAAAGAGCAGTCAGACATACTGCTATTAAAATGGCAATATTCTTTGATTTTTACAAAGGCTGAAGAGATAACGTTAACAATTGGACAAGCATTTGATCTGGCATACAGGAAGTTTCTAGAATCTGGAGGAAAAGATGTGGAAACAAGAAAACAGATTGCAGGGTTACAGAAAAGAGTGAGTAAATTAAAGTTGTTGTTTCACATTTGTGTCGTGTAAGTACAGGAAGCTTGCATAGCATCAAACACGTTAATAGAACCATCATTAAATTTCCCTTTCACTAGTTGGGAGGGTTTTCACTGTGCTCTTAAGATTTTTTTTTTCATTCCTGATCCCCTGCAGTTGTTTGTTTTTTTTTTTTTTTTAATTTTTATATTGAATTCCCACAAGAACTTAGTGTTCTCATGTGATTTTTTGCTTCACTTCCTGATGCTTCTCATGGGGATCAGAGCAGCAGAGGCAGCAGATGTTGGGTAAGTGGTTCCCTATGAAGCTCAGATTCCTTTGTAATTATATTATACCCCTTCTCCATTCTTCTGCATCACCAGGAGCAAATTTCACTGTCATGTGGTCACACTGCAAGACTGCTAGTATAAATTGCCCAGCGCATCAAGAACATACAGAGATGACACATTTAGGAACATAAAATTTGCACACACATAAAATATGTTTTAAATTGAATGTGTGTCTCCAATGACCTAGAATCCTCCAGTACTGCCCAAGGTTTTTCAAATAATTGTCTGTCATGTGCAGGCAATTAATTCTAAATAGTATATAAATTCTAAATAGTATAAATACATTCTAAATAGCATAAATAAAAATTCTAAATAGTATAAATTATAAATAGTACAAAATGTTATTTGTTAAATTAACCAATATAAAACCCACTATCTTTCAAGCAAATAAATAAATAAATCCTGAAAGTTACTCAATGACCACTTGCTTTTTAGATCCAAGACTTAGAAACAGAAAATATGGAACTTAAAAATAAAGTACAAGATTTGGAAAACCAGTTAAGGATAACTCAAGTGTCAACATCTCCAGTAAGTATATTGAATATGTATATGTTTCATTTGAGAAAAGATTTATAAGATGAGATGTCTCTGGGTCAGAAATTCTTTAAAAGTTCAAACAATACTTTTTGATCAATTATTTAAGAATGGAGAGAGATGTCTTATAAAACAATTAGGCTAATTAGGAGAGTTAAATCATCTAGGTAATACAGAGTAGTTATTTTCCCTTTCCTCTTTCATGATATATTTTCTACTAATTCAGACCTGAGTTTGATGATCAAGTTTAATATACTCTTTCTCTCGGAGCATGTTCTTTCTCTCATCCCAAGTGGTTACTGGTCATTGAAGTTACAGGTAATGACCTATGCCCATCTACTCCTGCAGAGCTGAACTTCGTTATAGAATATGGAATGAAAACATGACTGAATATTGTTTCTGCAATTACATAGCAAGGTTCCTTCTGGGAGTAAAGCAGTTTTATTGCAGACACTAAAATGAGTGGCTGTCTCAGCAGACAATAGTCAAGTATTTGTAGTTAAATTATTTCTGACTTGTTGCAAGTTTAAAGTCCAGAATTTTTCCAGTGCTATGTGTGATATCAATCATTACCTAATTTTAGAAAAGAGAATTGTTTTTGGAGGAAGGTAGAATTTAAGGCAGTATTTTTTCAAGGCAAATGATATTTACAAAAATCTGTTTTTTCTCTTTGAATGATCTGCACTAAAGATAGTCTCCCTTAATGTATATGTTATTCACTGAAAATATTTAATATCTAATTTATGTTCTGTTCTATGGCATGGAATTTAATTGTAAGAGTTTTTAAAAATTACAAAACTATTATATGTTATGTGTGTGTGTGTGTATGTGTGTGTGTGTATGTGTAAAACACAAACCCAGAAAGAATCATCAAGAAGAACACCACTGTAAGAACTTTAGGCTTCAAACACGCTATGCCCTGGAAATAGGTTAAATATTTTCCATTATTCTTTTCCATGTTCCAAACTGAAAATAGGTCTTTCTATTGTTTGAATAGGGTTGGTTAAAAAAAAAAAAAAAGATAATATGGCTCAGAAGAGAGAGGTTGAGAGTGAAGTATTGAACCTTCGGCATATACAATGAGTTACTGAAGGATCACATTCTGGGTTTATAAGGGTCATAAGGAAGTAGCTGTGTCTGGAAGTCATTGCATTTGCTTTGATCCAGCCTAGTGGTGACAGAGGACTTGAAGAGATGTATCAGAATTCTGAATGAAAATCTAAAGCTTGTTTATCTTGTGTGTCCTCTCTTTTTGAGGGGCAAGATTTGGGAGGACCAAAGAGGTTTGGAAACAATGATCAAACTGATTTCACCCATAATTTGTTTTCTATCTGCACAGCAGATACTGCTGGAGACTAGCAAAAGGGTAACTGAAAAGAAGGTAGGTCAGGGTTGGGGTTATGAAGTTCCACTGGTGATCTGTGCTTAGCCAATCAGTCACAGATATGGTGAAGAGTGAACAGAACAGAACCTTGTTTTGGTTTCTTGGACTATTTGGCTATGAAATACAGACTACAAATATATGCATTTATCTAGGTATTGTTATTGAACAGTCAGTTACACAAAGACAAGAGAAATCATTAAATTACTAAATATATACTAAATCACTAAAATATATTACTTCTTGTGAAGTTGAGACAGTTAATGATCATTTTAGGTGCTGTGTTTATGCTAATGTAAGTCTACCTGAATAAAATGCCTCAAATGCTACAACTAAAATTTGAATGAAAGATGAAATCACTTTCTGTAAACCACATTTTTGCATTTAAAATGATATTCACAAAAGGTTGTCATTGATCATTATACAAATAATGCAAATGACAACTTTGTAAATCTGTGTTTTTGACATACTGATGCCTTTATTCATACATTTTCTTTAACTCTAAAATTACTTAGTACCAATGCTTTGTATATTATCATATGACGTTAAACTTTATGATACACTGAAGGATGCATATTTTCTCTTCAAAATAAAAATTTAAGATAAAAATTAGAAGACATTAGATTAAATGAAATAAGCTAGGCACAGGAAGACAAATACTACATAATCTTATTTATTCTTGGAAAAACAAGTTAATGTTATTGGGAGAGGATGGTAGCCATTACTGGGCTGAGTTATGAGATGAGACTGGAAGAATTCAGGGAGATGTTAGTCAAATGTACAAAAATTCAGTTGGGCAGGAAGAGTAGGTCCCATGATATAATCAATAACAATATACGTCAATGCTTGAATAACCATATACTTGAAAATAGAGAGAATGATTCAACTATCTCCAGACTTAAGTGATAGGTGAAAGTGAAATAGAAACAATTTTCATTAAAAACTATGTTGGAAACAAACTTACAACTTTGCAGGGGAGGAGAAGTGAGGAAGGGAAGAGGGGAGGGAGCAGGAGAAAATGAGGGAGAGGGTAGCACTGTTCAAAAAGAAATGCACTCATTACCCCATATATGTAACTAACCCCTCCGCATATCACTTTTACAATAAAAAAGTAATGATTGGATTAAAAAAATGAACTCAAAGATATTTTAAGCTGATAAAATTTAGGTGTAAGATTTAACTGCAAAATATTCAAAATATAAGTTGATAGTTTATGTGATCAAATGATTTGGGAAATGATGTATGTGTTACCATGCATCTCTCTACTATCTATCTATCTATCTATCTATCTATCTATCTATCTATCTATCTATCTATCTATCTGTCTGTCTATTAGAGAGATTGAGTGACTGAGGTTTGAAGTCAAAGCTTTTTTTGTTCTAGGCAGGTGCTCAACCACTTGAGCCATGTCCCCAGCCCATTTTACTTCAGTTCTTTTTTTTTTTTTTTTTTTTTTAACATTTTTATGCATCAACTAGTCTGGACCAAAGTTTTAATATTTATGCTTTCCCTATAGGTGGACCATAATCTTTATATTTATATTTCCCTATAGCTGCGGTAACAGGTATGAATCACCATGCCCAGTTTTTATTGGTTGAGATGGGGTCGTGCAAACATTTTACCTGGGCTGGTGTCTAATTGTAATCCTCCTGATCTCTTCAACAACTGGGATTACAGACATTAACCCTTGTGCCTGGCTACATGCTTTTATTTTTTAAAAGACAGTTGATATTTTTGTTTTTCATTTTCAGTCTTATTTATGTAGCTCTGAAATAGTTATTTGATGCTAGTAATGCTATGTTTAAAATGAGCTCCCAATTTTCTGACATTAAGTAGAAATAAATGAGTTTATGTTGCTTGGAATTATTTAATATGAAAGTTTGTCATGTCTATAAATATTTGCTTTCAGATATTTACTATTGATCCAAACTATTGAAATTTTATTTTAAAAATTTAGATAATTAAAATATAAATTTAATATATAAGCCTCTCTCTATAGCTTACCATAGATCTGAAGTAAAACCCATTTCTGTTGTCAGAAATGTTTTAAATCTTTTCTTATGCAATTTGAATCTTGTTTTATAGGACTCAAGGTTAGACCACAAAGCACCTCACAGATTGCCTCATAGGTACCAAATAAACTCTAGAACTTGTTTGTTTTGAGTTCAGAAGACTTGCGGATAGAATACTGCACAATTATTGTTATTCTCAGCAGTTTGTTAAAGAATTAGAGACAAAAGAATTAGAGACAATGTTCTCTGCATTAATCAAAGAAGAATCATCCTAATGACTTATGGATCCCATTATGTACATGAAAATTGTAACATAGGTGAGTTCAGGATATACAGTTAATTCAGCATCAGATCCTCAGAAAGCTTTCAGTATGTTATGAGGAAATTCTGCAAAGCAGATGACTCTAGACATGTACAAGGATCTACTCAGAATGTTTACATGTCTCTGTCAGTTGGTCCAGCCATGAGCCCCCTTTCAGGAAGATGAAATTGGCTTTGATAATGTTCATAATACATATCACTGTATCACATTCAGATTGTAGAAATCCTCTCACTTATTTTAGAGACTGTAGTCTTAAATGAACATTTAGATACACTGAAAAATTTCTGTTACTTGACTTTGCTTTTGCTTTTCTGCTGTGCTCTCGTGGTTTGGCAATAGATTAGAGGTTGGGCTTTTCACCATTTGGTACTGATTACTTAGGAACAATCTGATTTCCATTCATTACATTCACATGGCAGTGTTGCTTGTATTTATATTAGAAAAGGGGTTTCTTCTGCCCTCCTAGTCTTGTGAACACCTCAGAAGATTGTTGCATTATCTATGCACACATACCAAGTTAAATCAAATTGTTCCTCTTGACTCATTAACTGAGTGCTAACATTTTGCCATATTGGTTCTAGACATTTTTAAACAAATCAGATTATTGTCAGGAAGTTAGATGAATAAAATTATAGTTCTCAAGAATATTGGACATTCTACTGCAGATCAAAACAAATGTCCCCCTTTCAATGAAACCTAGTGTTGATAAAATTTGACAAAACTGTAGCCACTGATTACACTTGATAAGACTATTATAACCTAGAATACGTATTTTCACTGTGGGTAAACAAACCTGCTTATTTAATTTTCCACAGTGCTCTCTCAAGTATTCTTGAAGTCAAGATGGGGAAGAGTAGATTGTGAAAACTCTCAATTACACAAGACACCCAGCATGAGTTTTTAAACAAAGACAGTTGAAACATAAACATCAGTACAAGAACGTTTGGTACCCACAAGAACTGATTACTAGTCCCCAACTTCACTTTTATAATTGCTAGTTGCAACAAAGATGACTTAGGAGAAGTAAATTCTATCTAAAAGAAGTAAGTATGTCCCCTTTATAGCTCTGATAAGTCCCTGATGAAGTCGTTTTGCCACTCTTTCTCTGTGTGATCTGTGGAGACTCACAGCACTTAGCATGGAAGCCTTTTGAACTAATCTTAATATGATAGGTTTTACCTTTAAGAAGTTAATACAAACCAAGCATGGACCTAGAAACCTGAGAACTACATTTCTGGTGGTTTAAATTCTAAATCATCAACTCATTAATTTTAAAATGTACCATTAAAAAGCAACATGGCAATCTAGAACAATCAACTAGAGCATTTTTCCTTACGATTATTTTTCCCACATTTAGTGTAATATAATCTTCCAGTTTCCTAACTAAAAATTTTACTGAAACTATCATTTTTTTAAATTACAAAATTAAAAGAAGTTACTTTTAAAATATAATCCCAAATGAAAATTTAAATTTCTAATTTTTTAATGACTGTGAAAAATCATATTTTAGTCTGGATTTTTTTTGGGGGGGGGGGTAAGTCATTGGGCTTGAACTCTGAACCTGGGCTCTGTCTCTGAACTCTTCAGCTTTTGAGTCACAGTACCACTTCCAGTTTTCTGGTGTTTAATTGGAGAGAAGAATCTCACAACTTCCCTTGCCTGGGCTGGCTGTGAACCATGATCCTCAGATCTCAGCCTCCTGAGTAGCTAGGCATTAGCCACCAGCACCTGGCTTTTAGTCTGGAATTTATTTTATATTTAAAAGGAGTCTGGAGGTTTATGCTGCCAATATAATTAATAGAAGAAAATAAAATTTCAATATCCTAGTATTTCTGTATATATATATTATATATTACCTCAGACTTTATATAATTTTAATGCAATTATTTTATTGTTTAAATAGCTAATGATAGGATTGCATCCCTGTTGTGATATTCATCTAGTTGTCACAGGAAAAGAGCAACCAGAGCCTAATCTATAGCAACTACAAATCTCAAATGTGACTCTTACTATTACTATGCCTCAATAGCTAAACAACTCCTGCATAATTGACAAGTAATTTGAGGGTAGAATTCTCTTTGATATAGAAATGTGAGGTTTCTTTTTTGTTTTTGTTTTTTGCCTGTCCTGGGGCTTGTACTCAGGGCACTGTCCCTGAGCCTCCTTATGCTTGAGGCTAGCACTCTTCCACTTGAGCCACAGCACCATTTCTGGCTTTTTCTGGATAGTTTATTGGAGATGAGAGTCTCAAGGATGGTTTTTTTAAAATTGTAGTTTGTTGAATATGAGTATCCTGGACTTTCCTGCCCAAGTTGGCTTTGAACTGCGATCCTCAGATCTCAACCTCCTGAGTAGCTCAGATTATAGACGTAGCCACTAGCAACCACAACCAGTTGTAATCTTTATTTTTCCATTTATTTTCCCAGAGGAAGGAGCATCCTGAGAAAACATGATGTATTAACACCATAATAGCAATACTGGAGTACCTTTATATTAAGTTATTTTGACTTGGCCATTTTGAGGCATCTGGGAGGATTTTCTGGCTAATGTATGTCATATAATATGTCAACCAAAATAAGTAATTCTGCCATGTATGCATATTACTAGAGTCAAATATAACTGAGAATATCTGTGATTTACTTCCGAACTCAATCTTTTCTTCAACTGAAGTCTCTCATTTTCCCCCTGCTTCCACAAATGTGGAAGGTGATAGTTGTTGGGTAATAAATGTTCCTCAAACTTGTTGGTCCTTCTTGTTTTAGTTCACTAACTTTGACAATTAGGTTTGTCAGAAGTCACATTTTGTTTGCTGCATCAAAGTCCTATCAATATTGGTTGAAAATCCTTGCCCATTGTGACTTTTAGCTTAGGAGTACAGCTCTAGGCCAAAGCTACAGACATGATCTTTTCAGTCTGAACACTGGAAATAACCAAGCCCACTAGGCAAAGCGTTATAGGGAAAGCTGGCCTTCCTCACACCAGTTAGCACAGAGTTTGAAGGAACTGAGACCTAAGTCCCACTGGCCAGCCATGCTCCTACATATATCTGCATTTCTAGCTTTGAGTTAGAGGCCTCTTTTGGAGCCCTTGGCCAAAGACACACTGAAATGCTTCTGCCTTCACTGTGTTATTCTGGATATCTTGGAGATACTTTCTCCTCTATGACTTAGTATTCACCATCGTCTAACCCTAGTCTTTCCCTTTCCCTTTTCCTTCTCTCTGTCCCTTTCTGCAAAAATCCTGCGGGACTTTTTGCCCAGGCTCTATCAACTAAAAGCCAGTGCCCAACTTGGGTAATGATACTCTGACCTATGTCCAGTGTGATTTCATGTGGGGAATATGGAGCGGTGATGGGCCAGGCAGCTACTTCCTGTTCTCCTGCTTCTACAACTGCAGTTAGTGAATAAAGAGTTAATAATTAGTTTTAGTTTAGTTCATTGATGTCTATGGCATTCAATAGCTAGGCTCTCTCCAGTTCAGCTCTCAGAAGTAAGTTTCCCTGCTTTATGGGAAATAATCTCTAAAAACCATCCAAATAAATGTGTTAAGAAACAGTTGCTATGGGGGCTAGGAAGGTGGCTCAATGGTAGAGCGCTTGCCTTGCATGCATGAGACGCCCTGGGTTCGATTCCTCAGTACCACATAAGCAGAAAAGAAAAAAAAAAGCCGGAAGTGGCTCTGTGGCTCAAATGGTAGAGTGCTAGCCTTGAGCTGAAGAGCTGAGGGACAGCGCCCAGGCCCAGAGTTCAGGCCCCATGACCAGATTCTCCCCGCCCCCAAAAGAAACAGTTATTATACATAGAGTCACATTTTGACTTTATTGAGATTATTGACAGTCCCTCTTTCCAGTCCCCAAACATCTTACAATTGAAAACCCTCAACACTTCATAGGAAAGGCAAGATGAGTAGGACCAGTCTGTTCAAAATTAGTTCATCAGAGACTAGATCATAGTGAAATTTTGGACCTTAATTACTGTGTCTATTACCATTAAAAAACACAACTGTACCATTAGTAATAGTTACAAAGAATGTCTTGAGCATTACACTTAAAAGGCTTGTGATAATGTTTTTTGAAAATTGCTCAGATCTGTACTTAGAAGAGTTCACTCCTATTTTACTGAGGTCTCACTGCCATCTTTGATCTCTTGTCATTTCATTGCACAGATTTATTTTGGCTTGATCTAAAACAAATCTCAAGATTTTCCAATTTCTTCTGTACTGTTTACTTCTCATCCTCTAGTGAAGCCAATATTATATTTAATCTACCTAAAATTATGATATCTCAATGAAAAATGATCAAAGCAATCAAGAACCTCAAGATTACCCCACTAAGCAAATCAGCTTCAGCAATGTGTTCAAACTTCACTGAAGTTAGTGTGAAAGTATACTATTGTTTTCACAAAACATCCTTTTACAAATGAATTTTCATACCTGCCTTTCCCTTCTTCCATGCCTTCTTCCTTCTCCTTAGCATATTTCTCTCTGTGTTGTTCCTTTACAGCTGCTGCACCGAATGTCTGATCATGAGCCACCTGGGCTTCAGAGACGCTCATCTTCTCTTTGGCATAGTAGTGATGCTTCATCTCCTTGTCTAAATATGTCTTCCATTTCTGTCACTCCTGTCAACTCGTCTGATTCCAGACTATCACTGGGACTGTTAATACCTCCACCTTCTAAAAGTGGCCTTCCTAAGCCAGGCAGTGAGCACAGCATTCCAAGACCTCATGTAATTTGGAAAACAAAAACTTCCTTTTATTTTTTTTTTTTACTTCTTCCAGAATGTTTACTTTATGTAGTAATAAAAATGGCAGGCATATTTTGAATTAATGTGATGGGATCTGAAACCTTGGTGTGCCATTTTTATTTCCTTTAATAGTGTGATATCAGAGGTTCTAACAGAGAATGATGACAGTATACAAGTCCACATAGATAAAATAAGATAAAAGTTCAAATAACCCATCAGACATGATTGCCAGGAAATGAGGTCACTGGTAATGTGTATATAAAAAAAGAGTTTTTGTATAGTTAGTGCAAAAAGAGCAACATCTAGATTGATCTGAAATAAATCTAATTTGAATGAAATAAAAGTTAGGACAGGAAGACAAGTGTCTCTTTTAAGGACACTAGTCTTGAAAGAGCCCTGAGAAAAACAGGAAGAAGGAAAAAAACAAAAAGAGGAGAGGCTTCAGCAATTTAAAAAGAATTTAAAAAGGACAGGTATTTGGTCCTTTGTTTTATTTTCAATGACAGTTAGGATATGAGTACTTTTTGTTTCTTCCTGAGAAGGAGGAGAGTTATGAAAAGCAGGGAATAGAAGGGATGAGATAATTAAGAGAGTAATATTCTTGAATAAAAAGTAAGGGTTTAGAGATGCTGAAAGCCAACTGTTAAAGGGTAGGAGATGATAGTTTTTTCCTGCATGAAAAAATACACTATTATACATTTTAACTGAATAGCAAATCCATCACTCTGCACATATAACCGGCCTCATTTTGTCATCACCTATATCATCTATGAATCAGAAATGAATATGTTCTGAGAAATAACCAGTCAATCTCTGTTCATGATCCAGTAGGAATAGTAAGCCTTTTTTCTCTCTTATTTCTTCAAGAGGGGAATTCTCTTTTATTCATGATCAGGTCAGACAGTTCCTATAGATTATACTAAGGTATTTTCCTTTTTTGACAAGGTGATGATTCATTTCCTGGCTACCTTATAGGACTTTTATTTCCCCTGCATCTGTTCTAAATTGATACCCAAGTTATAGTGATTTTGATGGTATACTGGTAATTATTAATTTATTTTGTAAAATGACTGATTATTACAACAGCTTAAAATTGTCAGTAATGAAATACAACACATATATCCAGTTGTCATTTTACTTATAAAGTCAAATTAAGATGTACTCTAAGAATATAAAAATATTCAGTGCATTTGAATTTTTGTAATTGGGAAAGCAGGTCACTGCCGATTTTTTCTGCTTACTATATTACAGATAGCATATTTTATGCAGTTCCCCACATTTCTAATTTTCTGATATGAATGTCTAGTATTTCTAGATACATAAAAATCTATCCAATGCTGTATGCTCATCTACAATTACATTGCTGCTATCTTTGGTAGCATTTTTCAGAGTATTTTTACAGAAATTTCCTTCAAACATTTGGCATAACAGATTAAACTATATGACAGTGTCGATATTTTTGTTTTTAATACTTGAGTGGTAAGTTATGATTCAACTGAATTCATTTATAATTTCTATATTCATATGAAATAGGTGTCTCCATGCTAATACATATCATCATCATTACAGGCAGGCAGTGTGACATCTAAGTCTCCCTCCACTGACATCTTCGATATGATTCCATTTTCCCCAATGTCACACCAGTCTTCCACACCTGCGCGCAATGGCACACAGCCCCCTCCTGTACCTAGTAGATCTACAGAGATCAGTAAGTGTTCTAAGTAAGTCAGTATGTGTGACTGTCCTGGAATATAATTGAAATGTTTGACACTTTGTGTAAAATGACAAGCTCATTAAACATTTGGATCATTGAAGTGCTATTTTTATGCATATACTGCACCCAGGTAATTGTTTACAATTATAAATTGTAGTAATCCAGAATATACTATTAAAGACATCCATATTTGCAGTGGAAACTTATTGTATGAAAAATAATCTTTTGATGTAGGTTTATTGAAACTACAATAAAATTATCTAATTACTTGTTTACTGTGGTTAGGGATATATTTTAAATGTTTTATTTTGTCTAAAAAATAAGTGATGGTAATAATTTCAGTATTTTAACATGTTTAATAGGGTTAGAGATATTATTATTATAGAATATACAGATGTCCTCTGGAGAAAAATATATGAATTATTAGAATTTCATGATTTGTTTATATATTAACCTTCTGAAATGATTTTTCTTTGATAGTCAAGATACTATAAAGACATTGATTTGTCTGATTTATCTTCTGTGAATCTTCAAGAAGCATCAAAGTGTGTCCTCTTTTAGCATCTTGGTTATATATTGATCTGTACCCCCATCACATAAACAGAAAGAAAAGTTTTTAATAGCCAGGAGTCTGTCTCTTAATCCCTTAGGAAAATTGAAGAAATGAGAAATTGCTTATTACACTTTATTGCATTCTTTTTAACTCACATTATAATATTTTGAATATAATTCTGAACTTTTAATCAAGCACTCTAATACCAGGCAGGATAGTTTATTTCTTTTTGCCTGTAGAACTTAAAAAGTACATTGTGTTAAGTATTATTTATAAGTAGTTATATATATTTTGTGTTAAGTATTTAAAACAATAACCATCAAAGCTCTCAATTAAAACAACTTTACGCTTGGCCCTGGTGACTCGTGTCTGTAATCCTAGCTACTCAGGAGATCTGAGGATCATTGTTTGAAGTGAGCCTAGGAAAAAATGTGCATGAGATGCTTAACTTCAGTTAACCAACAAAAGGATCAGAAGTGGAAATATGGCTCAAATGGTAGAGTGCTAGCATTGAGCAAAAAAATTCAGGGACAGACTTCAAGTCTAGAGTTAAAGCCCCAGGACCAACACACACACACACACACACACACACACACACACACACACACACACACACACACACACACACACACACACACACACACACACACACACACACACACACACACACACACACACACACACTGTTGGCATTGTACCTAAATAAACCGTTGTTACAGGAAGATGTAGAAATGGTCAACAGGTACATGGAAAAGATTCAATATCTGTAACCATCAGGGAAATGTCTTTAAAACCACAGAAAAACATCACTTCACTGCAGATAGAATGACAGCAGACAAAAAGATAATTATAACTAGAGTTGGTAAGGCTATGGAAAAAAAGGGAATCCTTGCACATTATTGCAAGTAGTAATTCACTAGCTATTATGGATAATAGTATGTTCATTAAAAATTAAAATAAGTACCAGGTCATGAAGCTATTCCAGTATTTGGTAAGTGTCCAATGGAAATCAAATCAGTCTGTCCAAGAAACATCTGCATAACTATGTTAGCACTATTCACCATATAGCCAAGAATGGTTCAAATGTGGCCTTGAACCAAAATTCTACCATTCTCTGCCTACTGAGAGGCTGGGATTACAACTATAGGCTCGTAATCAAGGCACAGAACCTTCTTTGGATAATAGCACTTTATTACTAAACAGTTTTTGATGTCATAAACTGAATCTTTGCTCCCTGAGTTAGTCTATGCTCCAGACAGCCATCATAGTCAAAGGATAGCTAGTGGCTTATTTGGTCATATGGAGGGTTATTTGTATTTATAATTCTGTTTGTATTTATTCATATAATCCTCCCTTTGAAATCTATTTCACCACAACTTATTTCCTGTTTTTCACTTACTTGACATGTTTTCTTCCTTTTAGAACGAGACCTCTTTGGAGCTGAACCATTTGACCCATTTAACTGTGGAGCAGGGGATTTCCCTCCAGACATTCAATCAAAATTAGATGAGATGCAGGTGACTAATAAATTGGCCCATTCATGGTTTATTTCTTTTTAATCTAAGACAAGAAATAACTTATATACCCAAACTACCCTCTCTTGAATTGATGGCACATAATGTTCTTAATATAAGTACATTAAAATGTAATTCTAAAGTTTCTACATGTCCTCCCAAAATAGTTCTGAATAGCTTAAATATTAAATGGTCTTTTTAATGGCTCAATTTACAGTAAAAAGTAGATAGTTCCTTTTTAAAATATAAACTGTCATGGCTTACAATAGCTTGTTGTTTTGAAATCCAGAAATTAAAAGGTCATTTATTAGATTTATAAGATTTGATCCCAGTCTTAACAATTGTGAATTTCAAAATTGCAAATGGGTAAATGAGGGAAGATCTTTGTAAGAGTGAAATCATTCTGTCTGAAAAGAAGCATTGTAGCTGTGGTTCATGACTTCTCGGCTCTTATTGAGAAAGCAGATACCAGTGACAACATCTTTAGGAATGTAGTCCAGTTGGGTATTCTGTCTCTCTTTTCTCTCTTTCTTTCTCTCTTTTTTCTACATAATATATATATATATATATTTTTAATTTAAGTCATCCTTTAAAATTGAAAAAAAAGTTGGCTTTAAAATCTTTATTCAATGGGCCATGATTGGTAAATAGACTTTTAAAACGTAAAGTCTTCTCTTTCAATTTGCTCCTCATGTTTTGATGAAACTAACTATATAAGTGGACTCTAAACAGTTTTATGAAGTTAATTGGGTGAGAAAATGAGGACAATAAAGTCAGGTAGGGGAGGTATTTCCACTTATTGGTCCTGCGATAATCCATTCCTATTCACATTGTGCTTCACTTCCGCACACTCTAATTGGCATTCTTATAGTCTTATTATGATTTCAAAATGAGCTTTATGACACTAATAGAATGTAAATTAATAATTTGATATAATAGGAAGGATGAAATTATTTGGCTATAACCAAAAGCACAATATCAGACTTATGTTTAATTCAGCAGAAATATTTTGCATCTGTTTATGTTTGATGACACCAACTTTCTATCCCTTTTCCACATTTCAAATACTATGAAACTTTCACTCAAATTACATACAATTAGCTTTTGAAAATGCTGAATTTTGCCAAAAGCAATTTCTTTTAAAAATATTACTTTTTTTCCAGTTAGGCAGCTACAGCCTGGGGCAAATATATATATATATATATATATATGTAGAAGTGAATGTGACAGGGGCCCTGGGTGGGAGTTCTTGTGGTTTTGTGCGTGAATTTTGTGTTTGCTATTTCTAATATGTTCTTGATGTCCTTTTTTATTCTCTTCTGCTTTCATGGTGGGTAGCGCCAGAGATGGTTGGTATATTGTTTTCCTAATACTTTTAAATGGCTTACAATCCTGTAAAACCTGAATTCTTGATATTGGCATGCTTTATGATGCAACTGATCATTTATTGTTAAGGATGTTTCATAACAGATTTTTATGGTTATCGATCAGCGATTTTGCTGCAGTTATGTTGTTCGCCTTATCGCTTATGTCTGATAGTTGCAGATTTACTTCGTAGCTCAATTTGAAGTTCAGTAGTATTCTTATTATGTAATGCCTATAATGAGTTTTGTTATGATCCTTTCTATTTTAATTAACTTAATATATACAGTCAACTATTTGTATCTTTGAATAGCAATAATAGGTTTGTAAGTAGTATGGGTTTAATAAGGCCAATGAAATATTTTCCTTGTCTAAGTGACAGAGCACATAGCTAGTGCTTTTTGCTGATTATTTTGGCTTTCAAATGAGATTCTTAGAGCTTAGCTTCCTGAGTACCTAGGGTTACAAGTGTGTGATCCATCAGCACTCACTTAGTTGCTTTTTATTGTAAAATCAGTCTTTATGATATTAGCTTATATTAATTCCTATCACTACCTTATGTAAACAAGCCTAGTTTCAAGTTTGAAACTCAAGAGAATATGGAAAATTTAGAATGATTGCAAATTTATTAAATTATGATTTACAAAATGAACCTTCTGAGGAAGATAAGAAAATATGCAAGACATTTTATTTTGAAAGGAAAGGAAACTAACGGGCCTTATAAGAAGATATCTGTTCATTGGAAGGTTACATTAGCCTAAGGGGAATCTAAAATGATCTTAAAAATAAAAAAAACATGATGGCGGTATTGTGACATACAAACACTTCATTTTACTTTCCAATATTATTAACACATTAAAACTTAGAATTTTCAGGACAAGCATCTTAAAAGAACAGCTTATTTACAGTATTTTCAACTGAAATATTCACTTTTCTAAGTGTGTGTTGGTTATTGGGAAAATACTTAAAATAAATATGGCAAAAATTTAAGTAACACTCATAACTCCTTTGATCTTTACCCAATTGAATATAATTTGTACCTCAAGTGCTGGGAAGATTTGAAAAACTATTCCAATTATGATATTGATGTTTACTCTTTTTAAAGCATTCTGAGCATTAATTACAAATAAAACATGGCTTATATTTTTGTAGCTATTTTCCTTCTATGTTATAATGGTTTGCATTGGCTTGCATAAACACAAATAGTTACTTCAAATGAAAGTAATTTGGGAACACTACCACACTTTTTATCCTAGGAACTTGCCAAGTGACTTGCATTTCCACTGATCCATGATTCCTCTCTCTATGTCTCTATGCTTTTCCCTCTCTCCCTGTTTTTCTTCTCCCCTATCTTCACTTCTCCCCCCTCTCTTCTCTCCTCTCTCTCTACGGCTTGGCTTGGGTGCTGTCACTGAGTTTTCCTTGCTCAAAGTGAGAGCTCTACCACTCAAACCACAGCCCCACTTCTCCACAACTCCACTTGGTGACTAATTGGAGAAAAGTCTCACAGACTTTCCTGCTGGGCTGGCAGTCCTCAACTCGCAGCCCCCTAAGTGGCTAGGATTACAAGCGTGAGCCACCCCTGCCAAGCTGTGTGCTTTTCATTTCTGTGTAGGCCAGTGTGCATAGATTAAGAAACCAGATGAGGCTGGAAGCAGCTAGAAAGAACCAAAAGTAGCCCACAGTTTAGTTAGCAAAATAAAAATGCTGGAAGTGGAGAAGGACAGGCTTCTTTGCTCAAAAGTCTTAGGAGAAAAGAACAAAACATATTCATGGCTGTTAGGTGCTTAAGGGCCAATACATTAATGGCAGTTTAATGTCTAAAATGTGCAAATGGAACAAAATCCAAGGAGCCATACCACTGAAAAGCAAAAGCAGAACTTAAGATGGGGTCCTTTCTTCATGGCCAAGCCATGTAATCTGCAATCTGAACACATAGAACGGCTCTGCATTTACAGAAAGTAAGGTTCTGGGCAGTGGTAATAGGAAACAAATAATCAAAATGATCAGAACCTCTCATTAGATTGATGACAACAATCTCAGTAATATCTCAAAGGGAAATATTGACATATTCTTTAGGTTCTACCAGAAAAAAATACTTCTTAATTTCATATATTCCTATGTTTTTCTCATATACACTGATCTCCCATATCTTTAAAACATTAAAATGTTTATGAGTGTAAGAATATTTCCAATGGAAGATATCTACATGAAATGCTGATAGGCAATTAATTTGGCCTACTATATAAACTTTTTGGATATTTTATTTTTTTATTGTTATTGGAGAATTGCTATACAGAGGGGTTATAGTTACATGAATCAGGTAATGAGTAATGAGTATAATTCTTTTTGAACCATGTCTTTCCTCCCATTGCTCTCTTCCCATTTTTCCCTCCCCGTCCTCATCCACAAGTGTCTAATCAGTTCCACTGTTGTATTTGTTCACCCTTGTAAGTTTTGATCTTTTAAAATGTTAAGATTCAAGTTCTATTTAGTCTGTTTTTACCTGCTGATTTTTATTTCATTTTATTCTGTCATGTGATGTTCCTATTTTAATGATTTTATTGTGTTTTACAGGAGGGGTTCAAAATGGGACTAACTCTTGAAGGCACCGTGTTTTGTCTTGATCCAGTAGACAGCAAATGCTGATGTCAAGAAAGAAAGATCCTGACTCATATTAAATTTGCTTATATACACATATAGCATTCACTATTATTTTAAGACAGGTATTAAACATGTGCCAATATATTTTTGGATATCTTAATGTTTTGAAAGCTTTTGTAGTGAAGTCTCTCCACATTGACTGTTGATCAGTATCTTTAATTTTAAATACAACTTAGTGTAATGTATGTCATAGTTTTTTGTTCGTGTTTCTGTTGTGGATGAATTTATCATTGAAAATCAAGTTATCTATATATTTGTCTGGTCTGAGTTCTAAATAATTGCAATGCATTCATTCTCCAGGCTGCTAGTTTTTTATTGATTTCCCCCCCAAAAAAACCATACTTAAATATTTTAAAATTCTGAAGAGATATGTTGACACCAAACTAGTGTTCTATTTTCAAACCAATGAATATATTATGAGACAGACAATGAATATGCATGAGACAGTGCTATTTTATGTGTATAATGTTCATATAATTGGGAAAATTTAAACTTTGAAATTATGCCATCAGTCCTCAAATTTTTAAATTAGTAAAGAAAAAATATAAATTTCGCTGACAATTAAATGAAACTTAAGTAATCTTTTCTAGTTAATTTCAGTTGTATTCCAAAATGTTTGATTCATTTTATTTCACTTCTAATGTGTGAGTAAGTTACATTTGTTATCTCGTAAGGAAAACCATTTGGAATGTATATCATCTCTAGGTTTAAAGTTGATCTTTATCCTTATATTACCAACTATAGTTTTTCTCACCAAAGTTTATTTTATGATGTCTCATTGTTTTTGATATTTTAAAATATAAAGAGAACTATTCTAAAAATATTATCAACGTATTTAGTGCATCTAAATTTGTACTTGGTCTGTTAAAGTCAAAATCCTAATTTTCACCAAAATACATTTTCTGATGAGCTGCATCATGAATGTGAGCAATAAAATTTCCTGGAATCTCATTCTTGATTTGCTGATAAGTTCTGAATATTGTTGCCCATGGTGTAACAGAGAACCAGCAATCATGCAGAAAAAAAAACAATGATCAGTTTCTACTTTGTTTTATCAAAGAATTAAGAAAAATGAGTGAAAATATGGATTGGTGATAGTCACCAAAGATAAATAGATTCTTTACACATGGGAATTTTGTTCAAACATTAAAGCTACATTTTCTAAGAACAGAAATCAGTGTGCTTACGCAATATTGTATTGGTATGCATCGCCATAATGTTGTATACTATATGTGAAGCTTCTCGTTTGTGTTTTGTTACGTTCTAAGTTGTACCGTAATTAGAGGACAGTATATATTTCACAAAGTAGAGTCTTTATAATTTTGGAATTTGTATAATGAGAATGTTTAGGAGCCACATGGCTTTTTTTTAACAGATAGAATTTGTATTTTTATTGTACTTGAAAAAGCTTTATGCAATAGGTATATATTTAGTGGGCATTTATTATCAATGGTAACACAATAGAGTACTGAGATGATATTTGCATATTTAAGATATGTTACTTTACCAATTTTTAATAGTAGTCAATTCTGCTACTGGCATGATTAAACAGTACATAATTGGTCATTAATTATGAACATTTTATTTCACCAGTACATTTTTATGAAGAAAGACATGGTTAAAAATTGTATTTCTATGTAAATTCAATGATATGTTTGATTTTGCTGAGAATAAAGGATTTTAGATAAATTAAATTATTCAATTTGTTTATTAAACAGTCTCTAAATATACTTGAAAATTGAACAAATTTTCTTGTTCATAAATCAGAGCTGAACAGAGAATGAAAGGGCTTTACTTTTTTTGAATACAGGGAAAATTTTATTTGATGTGGTTATACAAAGGGGTTTCAATTCAACAAGTCATATTGTGAGTTCAGTACATCTTAAGCAATGTTACCCTATCTATTATCCTCTCTAATTTTTCCCAATCCCATCCATAAAAGGTTTTACGTGTAACTTCATTTCTTACAGCCCACATACATTTTGTTTTATGAGCAATATTAAGAGTTGTGAGACACATGCTTAGCCTTGCTGGTAAGAGATGTCCTAGGGTGATTTCTTTTCACCGAAGCATCTGTTGGTAATAACCACATTATATATAGACATCATGTTTCAAGATTAGGACTCTTTTCTTATAGTTAATAATACAAAGAAGATTTGACTGATAGCCTTGATAGCAGGATTGGGGTTGTTACTAATGTGCAGTCATGAAGACGTTTGGAACTTATCCAAAGTATGGTATTAAAATGTTTTAGAAACACACTGACCTCATTCACACAAACTTCTGCAACCCAACAAATCAAAAGTTTGCTCTGTAAAATGTACTTCTTTCTCTCTGTGACTTAATATTATATCATATGGATGAGAAGATACCTAGTAAGTTTGATTACATATATTGTTTGTTGACTTGACAACATCCCTACTTTCAGTTGGTCATATAGGGAAAGTATATGATCTTAATAAATAGAATATATAAAAATAGTATGTATTGAAGTACTATAGAAACCAAAAAGTAACCCGAGAACACTTATATTATCTGCTTTATTATGGGTGCCTTGAACTAACTACTTTGACTACTTTCACTAAGTAAGTAATCCAGAGGGAATGCAGTACAAGAACAAAGGTTTTCTTCCTCTCTTTGTTTCTGACATTTTAGATTGGGACTTTTGTCAAGTTGTAGTACAAAAAGTAATACTTAAGAATTTCTGATAGATTTTACAATGTTACATTTCATTTTTATTTTTGATGTTACCATAACCATGAAAAAAACTAGCTGTTACTATTATTCTATTCCAGTGTTTCCATGTGTAGTTCCAAATTCAACATTTACTTGTGATTTTGGGTTTCAGCCTCTGTTAAATTGCTTGTAGAATCTTGGACTCAATTTTGACAACTCAATCTCAGATTCCACCTAAACTACACCCTTTGTAGGCAATTAACAAGCTGTTGATATAGACAAGGTTGTCATGCTCTTGCATCTCTGGCTGCTACAGGAAGTGTCTTGTCCTTGCTAGTTGCTAGTTATCTTTGAAGAATTATCCTTCTATTTTAAACTTCACAGAATCATTAATTCTTTTGTACTTGTTCCATGTTTTCATCATATGTTTTATTTAAAAACTAAGGTATCCCATTTTCTACCCTAAAGGTATATTTGGCCTTTCTCTGCAGTGGCATTTCTTTACTCTAGCAAAGATACTGACTCTTAAATCACTGAATGTCTTCTATTTCTTTGCTTTGAAATGAATGTTTCTGGAATATGAATATTTTATAAATATACATACTGCATTACCATTCTAAAAACTTATTTTTCTACTCATAGAGTTTCATGGATTTGTGTGCCTAGGTTGGCTTTAAACCAAGATCCTTAGATCTCAGCCTCTAGTGCCAGCTTTTAACCAGTGTTCATATGCATTCAGGTACATGTGAGAGGCAAGCTTTTGAACAAAATTCTTAGTTTGCATCCACTTGGACAGACACTTTAGAACATACATTAGGAGTTCTAAGTGCAATTGTTTTCAATGAAGTGGACCTGGTTAAAAAGTATAGGAGTTCCACTCTACAAGGTTCTCCAGTTCTGCATTATACCTAATTAGTTTCCTACTAACATACATTCTGATACCCCATTGCACTTCTTCAGACCTTAGACCTTGGACCAAATTGATTTACCCTTTATGTTTTCAAAAATCGTTAAAAATACTGTCTTGGGAACATCTCCCTTTTGCATTTTTAATAAAATATTTTAAAGTCCTTCTACTAATTCTTCAACCACCCCAAACAAAGGATTACCTTGTGTTCTTTTTGGTGCCAAGCACTTTATAATATCTACCAAGAGGTTAGATAATCCTTTAGCATGTCTCTTGCTAATGATGTCAACTCAAATTTCTTATGCTCTCTTGGAAAGGAAATTATCACATGCTTTCTAAATAAATATTGGAAGATGATGACTACTTTCTTCTCTCTAATAAAACTTTTACCATTAATTTAACATTTATTGAAGTAGTACTTTGTTTGCTAAATAGAACTCTGACAATTGCCTACATGCCAACTAACAAATACCATGAAGTCAGGGGCTTAAGGAAATCTGTTCCACTTGAGGGAGGAAAACAAAAGAATGATTATTGGAAGGATATGAAAATTCAAAGGTAAGTGTAATATAATTTAAAATTTTCCCTGTATTTAAGAGACTGAATTGATGCATTAAAGAAAGCTCACATATTCACCTTTGCCTATATTGTTGATGTTGTGGTTCATTAGTTCTAAATATTTTAAGGTTCATTTTTCTTAATTTTTTTAGTGTCCTCTTCAAATGAGATTTCATAAGAACAACATTGAAGATCTTCCCAACTAACCACTCCCTCTTCTCTGTCTGGCTAGGCTGCTATGTTTTAGTCTCTTCCAAAGGTCAGTTGTTCCAGTTGAAATAACTGTCTGGATGGCCTGGAAATAATCCAGAATCTGGTTCTTCCCTTCAAGGAAAACAACGAAAGATATTTGTTTCTTGGCTATAGTTTGAAAGAAAAAAATTAATGGGTTTTTATAGCTGCAATTATAGGATACATTTAAAATTATTCTTTAATTTGACTATTTTTATTTTTTATATACTTTAAAAATCAGTTACTATACTATTAAATAATTTAATAAATAATGTGTGTGTCATAGAACATATAAAGAAAGGGTTGGGGAGACAAAAAGAGGGAGAAAAAATGAGGGAGGGGATAACAAGTTCAATAAGAAATGTACTTACCTTTCGTATGTAACTAACCCCTCTGTAAATCACCTTGACAATAAAATTAAAATCAAAAAAGAAAGAAAAGAATATACGAAGAGACTTTATCAAAGATCCAGCAAATTCTAACTCTTTCTCTCTCTCTTCCCACACACACACATTCCATGTAACTTCATCTATTTCCTAACTATTTTTAATTAAAATAAATTAATTTGAGTATCAGACAAGTCGACAGCCTGGGGAACAGGAGAAGACAGGTAGTGAAAGAGAGTCATAAATCTTCAGAGATATCAACTTAACCACACTTGACAAAATGCACAAACATCTGACCTCTTCATTTTCCAGACAACTTGGATTATTTTTGGGTCAGAAAGTAAGAAGAATGATGCAATTATATGAGAGGCCATTTCTATAACAATTCCTTTCTAATTTTTCCTAGTTTTCTGATAACACCTACCATCTCCTTTTCTATATTAAAAGAATTAAAAAGGGAAATACTTGAAAATTAACTGGCCACTGTCTCATGTCTTTTTGACTGGAAATTAGAAAAAAGAGGTTACTTCCTTCAGCTCAAGTACATAAGTTTTCAAATTTTGAACTCATATTTCACTTGAACTCTTAAATATTTTCAGAATAATAATACCAATTAATATTCATTCTAAAAATGGCTTCATCCACCCAATGAACTAAAATCTAAAATACTATGATGTTATAGTTATATAAAGTCTGCTCTTTAGCTGGGCAGGTATTGCAGTGAATCATCCTAAAGTTCACATGCATTAGGTCTTCGTGGTATTCAAAGGAAAGTTCCTGGAATGAGCCTAAAACTTAAAAAAAAAAATCAGAGGAAGCATACATGTAATATTTAGTTGCATATAAGTCATTAATACATGTTGAATCAGTGATTACTAGATGAGAATTGGAGGTAGTATTGATCTCATAAAAGAGGATAGGAGTGATTTAAAAAATAAAAAATTACTGTCCTAACCTTTATCTCTTTTTTTTTTTTATCAAAAATCTTGTCAACACTGAATGCAAAGTAAATGCATAATTTTAAGATTTTCTCCTTTCCCAACGTTTCTAATCTATGGACACATAGAGACAGACCTTAGAATATTCCAAATCAAGGTTAAATCTTGAAAATACTAGCAAAAAATGTTAAAACATGTATTATAATGCAAAACTAAAATATCAAGACATAAGTATACATAAAGCTGGAAATGCACACATTTACAGTTATTGTATATATCTGCTTTTATAGGAATACCTCTGTGTTGTTAAATTTTATAAAGAAACTATGTAGATGAATGTGTTAGAATGTTTTCTTGAATAGATTCAAATGAAATTTGCCTCGGACATATTGAGTTATACTCTCAAGTGGTCATTTTGGTAAGCTTTTCTGTTTTGTTTTACTATAAAGGAATGAAAATGTAGAGAAGATAAAATCCCCAGAAGGCCTGTTAACCTTTCTAAAGGTGGTAGTTTCTTGGTGCATTTCTCATCATTCTGTATTTCTTCCTCAAGGCTTAATCGCAAAGCTGAAGCTAGACAATGGCTGTCCCTGCAAACCACAAGAACTGAAGTATTTATTTTTACTATACAAATCGATCAAATTTCTACACATTTTTTAGAAAATAATTTACATAAAATAACTTAAAGAACAATCTTCTGAGCAAAACAGATCATCTTTTTAAAGAGAAGCAATCAAAACTGTCTATCTGCTCAAATAAGATTAATTAAATAGTTTCTAGACACAATGAAGTCAATGAGACCATGGAAAGCATATGAGTCATATGACCTAGTTGAGTTTATTTAGAACACACACACACTCACAAAAATCTGGGGCTCCATCAAAACCAGATTGTTTCCCACACTGTTTCCAAGTAAAAATTAGAAGGCCAAAGGAAAATTGGACAAATCTTTCAAAAAAAAAAAACCCACCACCAAACATTGTTCATGAAAACTGTCTAACAACAAACAAAATAAATGGAACAGCA